GAGGAATGAATAATGTTATTTGAAGGGATGATTAACAAATGAATACAAACCACATATTTATACTAAATGAAAGCTACTAATCAGGAAGCTAATGCTCCATGTACTAATGCTATAATTTAGGCCACTCTTCACATACAATGCATGACCCACACCCATTACTTTCATTATTTCCAACAAATTAACTAATTATTAATTACTTGCTTGGTTTAATAATTATAATAATAATATTATTATAACACAAAATAATATACTTTTTATTTACGGTCTATACAACTAATAGTTATGCCATGGATCCAGGTCCACCTTGCAAGGTAGACCCGGATCAAAATACACAATTTATATACTGAATATTCACAATTTACATACTGAATATTCACAATTCAAATTGTGAACATTCAATATGTAAAGTGTGAACTTTCAATATGTAAATTGTGAACATTCAGTATATAAATTGTGTATTTTTTGACTCAAGTCCACCTTGCACGGTGGACCCAAGTCCACGGCATAATTTGCCCCATACCGCTATGTAGACCATATAATGATGACAAATTATAGCATGCACCAGGGCACACAATGCATTGTGCACCCTGACCTAAAACAACGCTGTTTTTAGGGATGGCAATAGGGCGGGGTGGGTGCGGGGGATATATCCCCCGCCCCCGCACCCGCACCCGCATTCCCAACCCACTCCCCATAGCCGCACCCGTCCCCGCTGGGATTTTGCGGGTGCGGGTAATACCCAACCCGCAACTCTAATTCTTCATATTACACTTAAATCTAATAAAAATTTTATACTACAACTCTAATTATTACATGAATTTTTTATAAGTTTGAACATATACCCGTTGAACATAAATTAATTATTACATGGATTTTTTATGGTCCTTCCGTTAAACTTGATCATCTAATGCCGTTTTCTCAAGGATAATTCAGTCCTTTCATAATTAATTTAGTAATTATTATGTTTGTCGAGTCATACCGAGATATCCCGACGTCGTTTTGGCACAACCTTCGTACCAGCTTTTGTACGCCATTTTGATTCACGAGCTGGTTTTGTACACGCTCATAGCTGGGGAAACCATTGTTTGACTATTCTGATGAGGAAATTAAGCATAATAATTAATAAATTAATTATGAAATGACTGAATTATCTTTTAGAAAACGACATTAGATGGTCAAGTTTAACGAAAGGACCATAGATGGCTAGAAACAAAAAGTAAGATGACTAAAAGTGGTTAATATAAAAGTTGAGGACTAAAAGTGACAGTGCCACCAAAGTCGGAGGACTTCCACCGGTATTTACTCAAAATTTAATAAGAGCCAATGAAGTTAATCCTTGGACCTAAAATTGTGTTGGTAGTATAAATTGTATTAAGTGTTTACTCATTATATTATTTGTGTTGTTCTTATTCAATTTTAATTAATAAAAAACTAAGAAGTTTAATTTATTATGCATTTTTAATTATAAAATATGCATAAACTTATATAATAAATGAATACTAATAACAAAATATATAAGTGCAGGTGCGGGTGCGGGTGCGGGGCGGGGATACCTCCCCGGCACCCGCCCCCATACCCGCGCGGGTATACAAAATTCTCCCCATACCCGCACCCATTACCCAAATTGTGCGGGTATTTTAAAATCCGTAGGGGCGGGGATGCGGGGAACCCATTGAGTGCGGGTAGAATTGCCATCCCTAGTCGTTTTGTATTTGTTTCTCCTTTCTGTTGTTAACTTTTAAAAAAAATAATTAAATCTTTGTTTCGTATGTACAGAATTGTATAGTAGAATACACATAAACTCCTAACATAATACACATAATCTAACATAATACATAATGCACATAAACTCTTAACATAATACACATAAACTCTTAATATAATACACAAACTCTTAACATAATATACATAAACACAAGTGTTAAAAAAAAAAAAAAACTATAACGAAATTAAACAGACAGAACGGTGTCCGTCGCATCAATTTCTCACCAACTTATAGAAACATCGTCGTTTTGTGTGCCTTGTTGAGCATATAACCATTAATGTGCAATCCAACTATGAGCTTAAACTTTTAGTTGAGATGGAGCACATGCTTCAATTTGGTATCAGAGCCAGACCAAAGGTCATGGGTCCACGTGTTGCTTGGAACCCACCGCACACGTGAGGGGGCGTGTTGTGCAAATTATGCTGTGCAACCGTGTGCACTATGTATGGTGCACACGGTTGCAAAAACGACGTCGTTTTGACTAAAAACGCGCGTTCCACTTTAAAAAAATTCAGGTTCGATTCCCGACAATATCATTTTTTTGTGTATAATTTGAATTATATATCCACAAATTCAGAACTATATATCCACAAATTCATAACTATATATCCACAGTAAATGAATAACACAAAATCCAGAATGAATGAACTAAATATCCAGAATGAATGAACTAAATATCCACACTAAATGAACTAAATATCCACAATAAATGAACTAAATATCCATAAATTCATAACTATATATCCACAAATTCATAACTATATATCCACAAATTTATAACTATATATCCACAATAATAATGTTGAGGGGAATCAAAAATGATTTTTTTTTTTTAAATGGGACGCACGTTTTTAGTCAAAACGACGTCGTTTTGCAACTGTATGCATGATGCATGGTGCACACAATTGCACAGCATAACTATTGAGCGTGTTGAAACTTTTAGTTGAGATGGAGCACATGCTTCAATTCGGATTGTGTACGACGATTGTATAATGATCGACATCAATTGCTAATTCTCCAAAAGAACAAATTGCACTTTTGGTCCTGTGAGTATTAGGGTACTGACAATTTGAGTACGTGACTTTCAAAAGTTCCAATTTAAACCTTTAACTATGCAATTTCTGACAGATTTGGTCCTCCGGGCCAAATTGCCGGTCAATTTTGGCCGGAAAAATTAAAACTATTTTTAATTATTTAATTATGAGGGCAAATTGGTCATTTTAGAGTCTTCTTCATTCACCCCTTCTTCTTCATTCTTCTTCTTCTTCGTTCTTCTTCTTCTTCTTTATCCTTGCACTGGGAGCCAAATTAATCTCCGATCCGATCCGATCCTCCTCTTGGACTCATTAGAACAACCAGACACCATAATATCATCCATTTTTCGGGGATTATGAAATCAAAGTGTAAAAAGCATCAAATCCAATAACCGGTGAGATTACCTGTTACACATCTCTCTGACTGTGAGCGTGAAGATCCTTTCGCCGCAAGATTTCAATGTGCGACGCAAGTCACCATCAGTAAATGTGCCCAGCAGATGATAATCATGATCAATAACGAGGAGGCATCCACATCCTTTGCTCGTTAATTCTACTAACTGGTCCATAATGAGATCTCCTTCATTGCAAATTGGAAGTTCTTCTTTCTTCTTCATTACATCTTTCACCTGCAAAAGAGTATCTTCTGTCAAGTCTAGTTTTTCCTTCCTATAGATACACAGAATTCTTCAATCTGTGTTCGTTTATTCATCAATTCAAGTATTCAACAGAACAAAATTCTAAATGTATTTCAATAGCAATCAAATCTATAGAATCATAAACTAACTCTTCATGTGATTAAACTTCCCTGTTAACTTTCTTCCATATAATTTAATGAACTGGATTGAAAAGATTTCATTTCTAAGGTTTATTGCAAAACTTAACCCTATATCAAATAATCAGAATTTCTAAGCACAAATATGAACAGGATTCTATCAAAGAAACCAAATCCAAACAGGCAAATCAATAGATAAGAGAATTCCGATCAAATCTTATGTTCACATTTCATAAGCGATGAAGGTTTGAGAAAAATTGTCTCACCTTGAAGATCAAGCTCTTGCCAATCCTGCCAGAGGGGTGGTTAGAGGCGTACTCGTCGCGGCTCAAATTTTTCGGGGGCCATCAACGCAATCGCCACCGTGTCTCCGAACACCATCTGGATAGCGGTGGAGGTGACGGGGGCCAAATCGAAGGGGCACAATTCTCTCTATCCACCACCGGGCTCCCAGTGCAAGGATGAAGAAGAAGAAGAACGAAGAAGAAGGGGTGGATGAAGAAGAAGACTCTAAAATGACCAATTTGTCCTCATAATTAAAAAATTAAAAATAATTTTAATTTTTCCGACCAAAATTGGCCGGCAATTTGGCCCGGAGGACCAAATCTGCCAAAAATTGCATAGTTAAAGATTTAAATTGGGAATTTTGAAAGTCACGTACTCAAATTGTCAGTACCCTAATACTCACAGGACCAAAAGTGCAATTTGTTCTTCTCCAAAATTCATACGGAGTACTTGCTTAGTTCTATTGGGCCCAGTATTTTTTGTTAAAAATCATTAGTTTGGAAGCCCAAAATTTAGATTTTGTTTGTTCTGAAATAGGCTTAGGCCCAACAACAACTCATCGAAGTAGAGCTCCGTTCCCATCTCTAATGGCAAATTATATTATGCACCGCGCGTCTTTTTTTTTAAATAAAAATTAACGCCGTTTCGCACCCTTTTACAAAAAGTAACTCTGTTATTCAGTGTCATTTTGTATATACTGCAGTTTCAGTTGAACACAACTACAGTTTCATTTCAATATAACTATAGTTTCATTCGATATTTATAGACTCAAATATGTGAAAATGTTATTTAATTTTATTTTATATACACTATAGTTTTATTAAAACACAACTACATGATCATTTTGATATAATTACAGCTTCATTGTATAATATACACTCAAATATGTGAAATGTTATTCAGTTTCAGTTTATATACACTGCAGTTTCATTTCACTATAACTACAGTATCATTTTGATATAACTGCAGTGTCGGTTTGAATATACTGTAGTGTCAGTTGGTGTTTAATACATCAAACAAACGGACTCCGTTAACTCTAACGGCGGGCCGTTTCTTTACTTAAAGAAACGGCGCCGTATATGGGCCGCGGTGCATAATCGATTATGCACCGCGGTCTAGAATATAACAACTGATCTCTAATTCTCTACTCCAACTTCTCCGGTCGTCACTTGCCTCCCCGCCACCACCCCCAACCACCGCGATCCTGGAGGTAACTCAATACTTCTACTAGCTTAACTTTTGCATTTCGATTTTTTCACAAACGACATCTTCTGTTAGAAATCTTAACTCACGACAGAGTGAATACTGAAATCTACAAGTTATTTCATTGGCTGAACTTAGAGTAATCGAGTTTTGGTCCAGAACGAAGGAGACGATCAATCGTTATGCTCTAAATTGTGGATTTGTCAGTTTTATTTGTTGATATATTCCCTTGCTGTGAGAATTGTAGCTTGAACAGCAAACGAAATTTGATTTCAGTCAATGTCTGCTCAAGCGTTTTTCAAAACTGTGAAACAAGTTTTCCCCAAGAAATCTGATGCAGAAATTGCCAGTTCCATCTCCAAAACCCTAATAAAATCTACCTGGAATGGCCTAGATATCAACCCCTCTCTAATTTCCAGTATCAATCCCCAAGTGGCCCGCATTGTTCTCTCCAACCCCCATGTCCCACACCTTTCTTGCTTAAACTTCTTCAAATTCCTCCAAAAGAACCAGTCTTTGACAGTCAGCAAACCTGATCTTCAAGCACACATAATCCTTGTTTTGCGGTTGTTTAGAGCCAGAAAGTTCAATCATGGGAAGGATATATTGAATGCTGTTGCTGCTGATGATAGTCTTAGGCGCCCGGTGTCAGAAATAGCAGATTTAGCGAGGGAGAATAATGGAAATCCAAAGATGGTTGTAAAACTGATGGATATGTTGCTTCGGGTTTATGTTGATAACATGAGGTTTAAGGAAGCTGAGGAGGTTTTTGACTATTTGAAGAATAATGAGTTTGAGATTGATGACAGATCTTGTATGGTTTACTTGCTTGCAGTTAAAAGATCTAATCAATTTCACTCCATGTTTGAGTTTTTCCAGAAGATGGTGGAGGCAAATGTGAAGATTACAGTTTATTCAATGACGATGGTGATTGATGGATTGTGTAAAAGGGGAGAAGTGGATAAAGCAAGAAAATTGATGGATGACATGCTTTGTAGAGGTGTAAAACCTAATGAATATACTTATAATACATTGTTGGATGGGTATGTGAAGAATTCAGACCTTGGGGCTGTAAAAGAAATGTTAAATGAGATGGAGAAGGAAGGAATGGAGCTCAATGCAACAAGCTACACGGTTCTAATAGAAGGTTATTCAAACTTGGGGAATTTTGAAGAGGCTGAGAAATTGTTCGAGAAAATGCAGCAGAAAAACATAGAGCCAGATGTTCATCTGTACACTTGCATGATTAGTAGTTACAGTAAGTCGGGTAATCTTAAAAAGGCGTTTTTGCTGTTCGACCAATTGGTTGAGAGAGGCCTTGTTCCTAATGCTCACACGTATGGATCTCTGATAAATGGCCTGTGCAAAAATGGGCAAATGGATGCTGTGAAAATTTTGCTTAATGAGATGCATTGCAAAGGAATCAGCATAAACCAGATCATATTTAATACAACAATGGATGGGTATTGTAAGAAAGGAATGATAGATGAAGCATGGAAACTGCTAGAAATTATGGAAAGCAAAGGACTTAAAGCTGATGCTTACGTATATAATATAATAGCCACAGGGTTGTGTAAACTGGGTCGGCAAGAGGAAGCTAAGACTTGGTTGTTTTCAATGGTGGAAAGAGGTGTGAATTCCAACGTCGTTACTTATACAACTTTGATTGATATTTATTGCAAGGAAGGAAATTTTGTTGAAGCGAAAAGGATGCTTCGCGAGATGGAAAATAAAGGGGTGAAACCCAATACCGTGACATACAATGCTCTGATAGATGGGTATTGCAAGAAAGGTCTGATGAAGGAAGCTTATAAGATTAGAGATGATATGGTAAGTAAGGGACTGAAGCCCGAAGTTTATGCGTACACCTCACTTCTTCATGGGGAATGTATATCTGGAAATGCAGATGCTGCTTTGAAACTCTTCAATGAGATGAGTGCAAAGGGTTTGGTCCCAACAGTAGTGTCTTACACAGCACTGATTTCAGGTTTGTCAAAAGAGGGCAGATCAGAAGAAGCTTTCAGATTGTACGATGAAATGATAGAGGCAGGCCTTACACCTGATGACACCGTATACTCTTCTCTTGTGGGTAGCCTTCATAGTTCTGGACAAATCTCATCTTTGAGGACCACTTGATGTTACCTTTAGCAAACCAAAAAGGAAACACTTAAACCACCTTTGTTTGCTTAAGCCTTGAGCTCTTGCATGGAGACAAAGACACCATCGTTCCTGTAACTCATGGAGGATTCAATCTGTGTCACTTCCATACTTAAACTCAAAACACAATTTGCCATATCTTGACGATTTCAACAGGCACTTATAAAAGCCTGGCACTCAACTGTTCAGCTGAACTGCAGGCTAAACACTTCATTGCATCATAGGGCCCTTATGCTTAAACAACAGGATGATTTATTAGGGGTTTTGTGCTTACATGTTGACCATCCTCATTGAGTTTTGAGTACATTTTATGAAAGAAACTATGGTGTACTAGTTTGTGCCATTAGCTGTAGTCTTCTTTTTGACGTTTATTGTAATTCTCTGCTGAGTATAGAATACCCGAGCTGTGAATGTAGGTTACTGGTTTTTGTTCATATATCTACACTGGATAGGGCGGCTTATAGTCGAGAGATGATGACATTGTCATATCATACGTCATAAAAATGTATACAGGTGCAATTATATGATGCAGCAATTTGACAAGTCAATCAAGATCAAAAGTGGGAACTTGATCAAAAGGAGCAGAGAATGCCCTATATGCAGTCCGGTCAGCAAGGCTTCTGTAAGGATCTTCCTCTCTCTTCTTAAGTAAATACGCCATACTATTTTCAACCTCTGATTTTATCCGCAAGTATAATTCACTCGCCTTTTCCCTGTCCTTCAACATTTCCCGCTTCCCCTTTGTTGATATAGGCTTTCCAAACAAGTAGTACAAGCGGCCAGGGATCTTCGGCAACAAGCCCGGGACATACAAAGTTTGGTTGGCAACCTCCCCGGTCTTATCAGCCCTGCATAAAGACAAAGATTAGGTACGTAGATCACAAGAATTATTGTAGAGAGCTTGGAGGAAACAAGAACAAGTAGTCAGCAAAGGACAACTACCTTAGTGCAATACCCATTTCCTTAGCTTGTTCATTCTCATTCCTTATCCGGTCATTTAATACAGGGATTTTCATCAGATCATCATAGTCGAGAACTAACTGCAGATATCACGAGCACATCAAAATATTAAGTTGCGGTTCACTTTACATAACATAAAGACACATAGACAGAAGAGTACCATACTTGTACAATATCATCTTCTCCAACAACACCAAATGGCACAATTGTAGCCCCAAACCTCGCTGCCATTCTTACAAATTCTGGTTGATCTGGCCATATCAACTTGTACTCTTCTCCCTGGTAGTAAAACAAAGCAAGAACTAGAACATTTTATGAAATTTTTATAGTCTTTACATCCAAATTTGCACAATGAGACATGATAATTTGTTTGCCAATATGCTAAATTGTGAATAAACTGCAATGCTAGAATCTAAGGGATAACTACTTTGAGGGGGTAAGTATCATTTACAGACCTGCAGATGAGCAGTTCTTCTTTTCCATCATGAATACCAAACTATATTAAGAAATGAACATTTGAACAGACTAGAAATGTATATAACTGTAATAGGTTTCCCATAATGCAGAGAAGAACAAGAGGGAGAAAATTCACCTTTCGATGTAAGGCCTCACGAGCACCCCCGGGATAAAGAAGCACATGCGATTTAGTTTGGAGCAACTTAAAGAGGTTGCTAGGCGAGACAGGTAGTCCCCCGAATAGTCTTATCAAATCCACGAACGAGTCTTCGTTAGCACTTCCGCCCTCAACTAGCTGAGAAAATAGTGTAGGATGTGCAATACCGCGAACTAATATCTTTTTCACCCTCAAAAACTCCTCAATTAAGGGCACGAGTTCTAACCCCATAAGCATATGATAACCAACTAACAACACTGGGCCTTCGTCAGGAACCCCTGCTATCCCTCTTACAATTCTCCCATCTTCCATTGTGGAGAACATCACCGGACCAGTAAAATTGCGGTAATTCCTAAAATTGAAATTATATGAAACATTACTTAGACCCCATAGAATTAAGTATAAAACACAACATTTACCAAATCCCTAGCATCAAATCATATAAACTAAAAAGGAAATGGAAAACCGGTAAAACAGCAAGCAGAATTATTCTGAAAGAATGACAGCATGGTTGCTTACTTATTGTTATCAATTGCTTTCTTGCATTCTGACCCACTAGGTGGCAGAAAATCCAAGACAAAGTCGTGCTTCTTTGAACGACGATATTTGCCTGTACGTTTTATGATACTTAATAGATTGACATTATCTTCCTGCACAAGTTGAAATGGCAACAAAGTGGGTATTAAAATTTGTTCACCCTCTGAGATTCACATAAAGAGTTATGAATGCTAATAGCATAAAATTATAGACTCTAAATATAATGACTATGATAAGGCTTGGATTTCTCAAGAGACTTTGAATTGATGATAATCCATCCAAGCAACGGATTCTTTTGGGGTGTGTTAAGAGTCCCATATTGAAAAATAAGAGAGAAGCATATGTGCTTATAAGGCCATGTGTTAGACTAAAAGTAATTGATTGGATTCAAGCTTTTAGTATGGTTTGGTCTGTGTGCACAGCCCAATTGAGTAAACTCAACTCAATCTTAGATTCTAACATGATATCAGAGCTGCCACAAAGTTCTGTTTTTGAGGAGCGTCTAATCCCAAGCTTATTCGGTCCACTTTTGAGGGTCCAATCCAATTGAAAGTGGTTTACCAGTTAGATTCAGAATGGCAACCATGGGTTTTAGAGTGGTTTGGCCTATGTGCATTATAGCCTGCCTAGTCGAGTGACCTCAACCCAATCTTAGATTCTAACATAGGGGAACTAAAACAAGGCTATCATTATCAAATCTAGAGAGCATAAACATAACTTAGGGATAATAAGTGTTATAGTAGGACATGGGAAAAGGAAACAAAATAATCACGCTAGAAGCACCATAATATTCAGAAAGACATTAAATATAGTGTCACCTACCAACAAAATGGTATGTCCATTGTTCTTAAAATATCGTACTTTGCAGTTTCTTAATGTCCTTGCTAGCCTCCCGCCTTCATTTTCACTTGGAAGCATGCCGTCTTTTCCACTGCAATTGAATCACATTTTCAGCATATTTTACAATGAAATACTCCATAGTTGTTAGAACAGCATAATCTATGCCTCATATATTCAAAGGATATTGGCAACAGACAGTGTATGTCTTACATTTGAAGATCAACAAGGCTCAATGTCGAAAAGTATAACATAGTATATTATTTTTCAGCACGTACAGATTATAATCGAACGCCTATCTGCAGAATATGGTTTCAAACACGTACCGAGATGCAAAGGTTAATGTGCTTGTTATCTGTTTAACCACTTTCTTATAAAGAGAAATTATGCAGTTTATATATAGAATGGTTGGTGAATGGTGGCAGACATGTTAAAAGCTTAACGGCATGGAATGAATATGGAAATCTTTAAAACTAAACAAGATAGGGTAAGTAAAGGCTGCACAACATGGTGGCAGACATGAATTTAGTTTTAAAAAAATCAAATGAATATAGACAACCTTAAACAAAACAACATAGATGCCAGACCTTGCAAGCACAAGCACTTCTGCTGTGACAGCATGTAGACGAGAATTGGCATATGCAGATCCATGTTTAAGCAGCTTCAGCTTCCACATAAGAGTTTCTTTCGGTATGATATCAGCCAAGCCCTAAAAAACGAGAAAAAACAGACACCCCTTATTTGTGCATCATCTTAAGCAGTAAGCGGTCTACATAGCAGCCGTGCACCCTTGTCCCTTAAGAGAGGTCGGGAGTTCGAACTGGAAAAAACCAATTTTGGCCAGCACTTTGCCCCTTAATTGGGCCGGCCCGGTGCGAACGGGAATTAGTCTGAGTATGGTACGGGCTTAAAGGTGCCTCCTATAGTTAGGGCTTGCTCAGGACACCTCGTGGTCTGACCAAAAAAAAAAACGGTCTACATAGCACTTCTCCAGATAATTTCACAAATGTTCAACAGAGAGAAAGAACGAAGAATAAAGGTTAAAACATATACTTCAACAAAATATATTAAAAGCATATAATTTGAATAAACACTTCTCATGGAAATGGAAATGGAAAACTAAGACGCAGAAAATGTGTACAAACTGCAAGCATGACTCACAGAAAGAAGGGGCAGTAAAGCGGTAAGGTTGCTCGACAGTTGTTCAAGAACTACGGTAGGAGGAAGTTCAGTATCGATGCCAACCATTGCCATTTTCATCGGTTCACCTAATGCAACCAAAACACGCAGCTTAAAGATGGACAAAAAGAAAGAAAATCACTACAAAACCTCATTGAATAACATAAACATCATATATTGGCAACTCTTTGAGCAAAAACCAACCAGTTCATTTTGATCGGGCCAGTTTCAACACCGACCACTATAATGCCCCCAATTTTATTTTATATTTTTAACACTGTAAAAACCAACCATCATGAGCTATAACTTTGAATAGGAAGCTGTGGTTTGGAAAAACCAAAATATGCAAAAGACGAGAAAACATACCCATAACTGAGCTCAGAAGATAAGGGATTGTAAACTGGAGTTCACCAGGCAAAGCTTCTAGGAAAGGAAACAAGGGTTGCAGCTGTGATCGGCCAAATGAAGTCGCTAAAAATAATAGTAGAAAACATCAGAACATAATAAGATTTGGTTTGTACTATAATTACCAAAACTAAGTTTATTGTAACCTGGATTAGCTAATATCACGACAAGATCAATCTTAGGATTACGAGCAGCAACAGCAAGAGCTAAGCATCCTCCAAATGATTCTCCTAGGAGATAAATTGGCTTGTTTGGAGACGAAGCATGCTTCATCCTCACAGTTTGTTCGACAAGTTTTATCAACCCTAAAAAACCAAAGTAATAGAACCCGCATTACAATTTCTACACTTACAGCTGAACATGAAATGTATTAACCTCTTCAGATTACTATGCTCTGAAAGATTTTGATGATTTAGGATTTAGCGAGGTTATTTCAGTGACTGCCGGGAGGGGCGAGACAGTTTTAAGATCATTATTGTTTTAGAAGGCTCAGCTTTGTCTAAGCTAAATCTACCACTAAAAAATAAAATAATCCTACAGAACGCACTACTCAATGAAAGAAAAGTATCAAGACCTTCAAATGGAGTTCGATCACGCACAGGAATATGAAAGCACCAGAGTTCAAAAACTCTGCAACAGAGAATTTTACGATTTAAATCAGTCAAGCATAAGCAAAATAAGTTCAATTTGTCAAAGGAAAACAAAATTCAATTCTGAGAAAAGAGAAAATATGACATATATATTGTGGGTAGAAGACCATAACTTTCTAATTTGATCTTCTGTTTATGTGAACATGTATAATATCCATGTTATCGATAAGTAATATTAAATATAAGACATCTGTAAAATAGTAGAAAAACAGAAGTCATAGAGAGTTTCAAAAGAAACTTTCACAACCAAACG